ACAGTACGATCATTTTGAAAGAGTCAGCACACTACGTGTGAGATAACACAGACCCTGTGGTACCACCCAATGAGGGGAGTGAAATGGAAATGGCATGGAAAGGCAACAGAGGGAAAGAGATGGATGAGTTGACAGGACATGGCCACTGAGTCAATCTGGAGGGCAGCAAAGGGGGAGGAGTAGGGGAAAGTTCCACCTTGACCCTTTGTCCTCAGCCTGGATGACTAAGTGAGTGGCAATAGCATTAAACAAAATTAGTCAGAATTAGTTTGGTTCCTGACATGATGAGTTCGTATGGCTTTGGGATATTCAGATGCCCAGCACACAAGTGAAGCTGTTCTAACTCTTCAGGAATGTATATGGAGATTTAGGCATTAGCTCCTAAGTAAAACTATGCCAGGATACCTGAAACCAATGCTAACGGAGAAGGTATAAAAAGAGTAGGATTTTTAACAAATCACTTAGTTGTTTGGAAGAAGGAAAGCAAGGAAAGAATATTCAGAGAGGAGGAAAAACAACTAATATTATGCTGCATCCAAGAAGCAAGGGAAGAGGAGCCAATAACTACAATGCAATGAAGAGGTTGAGGAGAAAGAGAACTGAAAGAGGCCACTGCCCCAGGCCACTGGAGGTCTGCGATGACCATCAAGAGAGTCCTTTTCTTAAAGTGGTGTGGGTAGCTATCACATCAAACTGCTTGAAGGAATAAAGGGGCAAGAGGGTGAGTGTGTCATAAGGAGGTGGAGATAGTGACTGTGTAGCCTAATTTTTCTAAAAATTTATTGGTAAAAAACTTGAGAAAAATGATAGTATTGGTAAAGGATCAAGGAAAGAAGACTTGAAATGAAGGCGATAAGCCAGTGGAGAGAGAGAAACATATTATGATACAATGAACTTAAATTCAGCAAATGATTAGTGGGTCCCTACTACATACCAGGCACCAGATATGCCGAACAAGACCTGGACTTCTACACACAGAACAGTATATTGCAATATTCTGTTAATTTAGACCATTAGCCCAAGGGAGCAAGAATTGTGACTTGTTCACTGGTATATCCATGGAGGCTAGCACGGTGTCTGTGGCATGACAGACCCTCAGCAAACTTTTACGGAATCGGTGACCGACACAGTCCCAACCTTTAAGAGGTTCTTCCCTATCTTCACTTGTCTTTCATGTCTAAACTCAGGCATTGCTTCTTCCAGGAAGCTTTCTCTAATCTTCAAGGTGGAGTTAATCACCTGCCTCTGTGTGCCCATTACACCCTGGGTGTTCCTCCATCTATCTATCTTTCAGTCTAAAGAGAGAAAAACAAGTCAACAAGTGTTTTCAAGATTTTTACCAGCCCCTAAGCAATGGAGAGGCAGAGACAGAAAAACCACAGTGGGGCTCACGGGCTGGTTTGGAAGCTCAGGTTTTTCATGAATAACTCCCACTGGCTCTCCTTTTACTTCTGCAGGTTTTCCAGGGCTAGTCTGACCAGCTCGGCTGCATTCAAATGAGCAGAGAAGCGTCTAAATCAGGCTAGGGAGCATAGAATCTGTTTCTTCTCATGTTGTTAATCTCGTGTAAATAGCCAAGCCACGCACACTATAAGCAAAGCCTGTTAGACTCCATTGGCTGGCTGGGCACCTGCGTTAAAAATGCAAGTTGCTAAGCAGTCTACCCAGCAGATAGCTTTCTTTGGCAGAACCGTGCTGTTCAGACTGGGAGGGAATTTGATAAAGTGCTTTATTGGGTGGCAACATTTTGGTCTCGGCTTTCCTCAGATCACAGTGGGATAATGAAATTGGAATCCATTTAAACCTTCCATTCCACCCCACACGGCTCATAGACACCATGTCAAACCACATCATGCTGCAATAAATGTGCTAAAATCTACGAGCTTTTACTCCTCCTGTTACACACGGTATTCTTTGTCAGATTGGAGATCAATTATGGAATACAATTTCTTGATTTTGCCCACTCACGTAGCTATAGCAGAATTTCAAATCCAAGGCAATACCCCATGCCATGAAGACGCATAAGTAACTGTATTGTTTCATGCCAAGTTTAATAGTACTACCAGCAGAGAGAAATGGAGACACGCTGCTTAAGAGAGCTTCGCCTCCATCACGCCTTCTGGGGCCCTAGAAGTTAAATTTAAATTCCATATGAGAGCTCCCTCCAGGCTCCCAACAAGACTTTTCCTCCACAATGGGGTCCTGGATGCCTAGCTCATCCTCAGACACCTGACACAAGTCTCCATGAAACCAGAAACCCAAGGTAAGTAACAGACTCCCACTGTATCTGAAAATATGTGCCGTTGGTCAGGAGGTAAATAAGGATTTGGAAATCAGCACTTAGATGACTGTAGTCACTAGTGAATGGGCTGGAAAATGCTCCTGGCTTTCACCTGGGATGAGCTGGTGGCCACTAACCACTCGTTTCTTAACCAAGGTTGAAGAGGGAGCAATCACTTTTCAACAACCCTCACTCCATTCCATTCATCTTCCTGCTTCAAATCATTTACAACAGCTTGAGAAATAGATTTGTCCTGGCTGGTATTTAAAGAGACAGTCAATAACAATAGGAGAAATAATTACTATACCTGGAGAAAGTGGGCATTGATTTCAGACTTGACTGGGGCCTCAAAACTGAATTTCAAGCATGCTGTAGTAGAGTGATAGCAATTTATTACATAACTCGCTGAATTTATACATAACTTGGGTGGGATGGAGTTGATGCTGAAACTCTTAAATACAGAGCTCATTTTTTTTAATGACAGTTCAGTTCAGCTACAGATATATTGAGAGTCTACCATTTTCTAGAAACTGTGTTAGGCTCCAAAGACACAATGATAAAGAAGATGGGGGACTTCCCTGGTGGCGCAGTGGTTAATAATCCACCTGCCAATGCAGGGGACACTGGTTCGAGCCCTGGTCCGGGAAGATCCCACATGTCACAGAGCAGCTAAGCCTGTGCGCCACAACTACTCAGCCTGCTTTCTGGTGTCCGCGTGCCACGACTACTGAAGCCCACGTGCCTAGAGCCTGTGCTCCGCAACAAGAGAAGCCGCCCCAATGAGAAGCCCGCACACCGCAATGAAGAGCAGCCCCCCCGCTCACCGCAACTAGGGAAAGCCCAAGCGCAGCAATGAAGACCCAAATCAGCCAAAAAGAATACACCACAGTTCAAAAAAAAAAAAAAGATGGGCCATCCCTGCTGGGGACACTTGCATTCTTTTGGTGAAAGGAGATAATAAGCCACCACAAAACTCATCGTTTAACTATAATTAAGGCAAGCATTGCAATGAAAGATGGGAATAATGGAGTGAACTCAATTGGTCTTGGGGAGATCAAGGGAATCTTTTTTGAAGAAGTCATTTAAGCTACAAACCAAAGTATGAGTAGGACTTAAATAGGCAGAGTGAGGAAGAAAAAGAGCTGTTTTGGGTGAAGGGACCAAACAAAGGCCCAGAGGCTGGAAAGAACCTGCACCCTTCGAGAAGTGCTTGTAAAAGTTAACAGGTAAAAGTTAACTGGCTCTCTTCAAAACCCAATATGTGAATATATATGCATATATAAGTTTACTATAAATGTTACTGACATCTGAGACAAGTAACACATAATTTACAAACAATCATGAAATATACGATATTCTCTACTGTAAATTCCACACATAGCCAATTGATTCTCAGGGAATGCTTTTGCTGATTTTTGTCAAACTCATATTTGTACCCAACCTATGGTCACAATTGAGGAGCAAGTGTAGTTTCCATATCAATGTTGGTTGATTTTTCCACTTAAGTTAACAAGTAAGGTGAAAGTGAAACAATGAAGACATAAGTCAGAACTTCACTCATTTGTCAGTGATGTGAGCAGCTTCAGTGGTGAGTCATACAACGGTTTTCAAATGTTGGAAGAATATGTCTTCTGGTTTTGGGGGGCTATACACAATGTAATAGCTACCAGACGCAACACATTTTTAAAATTCATTTGGCATTATGAACATTTTTTCCATCATTTTTATGAGTCTGGACTAGAGGTCAGCAAATCATGAGCTTGCTGTCTGTCTTGGTAAATAAAGTTTTATTGAAACATAGCCATGCTCATTAGTTTATGTATTTTCTACGGCTGCAGAGTTGAGTAATTGTAACAGAGGGCTTATTGCCCACAAAGCCTAAGATATTTATGATCCAGCCCTTTACAGGAAAAATTTGCTGACTGCTATTCTAGATCATCAATAAATTGCAGTGTTTGCCTATTCTTGTGGTGTAAGTACACCCACCTGATATACTGATTGCTGATGTACTGATGGCTGATTTTAAGCTACCATCATGTGACATCATGGAATGAAGTGTTGGGAATAGATGTGGAATAGTAGCACATCATTATATAGATTTTATCAGACAGCTACAGCAGACCTAAGTAACCTCAAAAGCATAGATAACAGTAAAATGTAGTAAAATTAATTAGGAAGTGATGTTTTGTATATTTATTACCCTTGTTTTTACTATAGCAGTCAATTGTGGGTTTATATAGTATAATTTTTTAAATTAATTTATTTATTTATTTTTGGCTGCATTGGGTCTTCT